CCTGTTCTCCCTCGTGCACCCTGTTCTCCCTCGTGCACACCCTGTTCTCCCTCGTGCACCCTTGTTCTCCTCACCTCGTGCACCCTGTTCTCCCTCGTGCACCCTGTTCTCCCTCGTGCACCCTGTTCTCCCTCGTGCACCCTGTTCTCCCTCGTGCACCTTGTTCTCCCTCGTGCACCCTGTTCTCCCTCGTGCACCCTGTTCTCCCTCGTGCACCCTGTTCTCCCTCGTGCACCCTGTTCTCCCTCGTGCACCCTGTTCTCCCTCGTGCACCCTGTTCTCCCTCGTGCACCCTGTTCTCCCTCGTGCACCCTGTTCTCCCTCATGTGAGGGAAATGACAACATCTCTGTGTTTCACTATGCGTTAAAGACCCTCTTCAGTAATGTTAGCATGTGCAGGAGACACAGGAAACCTTTTGGGGATTGATTGAGGGAATTTATTTCCGCTTGAAATTGAACTGTTTCCGACTTTTGTCCCGATCCGCTGCAGAGTCAACATGTCCGCTAAACACGAAGACACAACATGTGATTGTTTACTTCGCTGACTGTTGTTCTTTTGTCTTTGTCTACATGCAGGCAGAAATACAAGAGCGCCTCGCAGAGGTAAGACACACACACACACACACACACACACACACACACACACACACACACACACACACACACACACACACACACACACACACACACACACACACACCATGTATACATCACTTCAGGGGACATTACATTGACTTACATGCATTTCCTGGAGACTTATCCTAACCTTAACCATAACCAACACATGCCTAACCCTAACCCTAACCCTAACCCTAAACCTAACCAAGTCTTCACCCTGAAATTAATGATTCCCCTCATGGGGACCTGCAATTTGTCCCCATAAGGGAAGCCAGTCCCCACACATGACTATGTAAACATATTTAGGTCCCCACAAGGATAGTAATGCTAGACCACACACACACACACACACACACACACACACACACACACACACACACACACACACACACACACACACACACACACACACACACACACAAGCCTGTCAATGTCAAATGAATCTACATCTCTCTTCCATTAATCGTCTGACGACCCCTCAGGGGACCCGACCCCTATGTTGGGAACCATTCATACTAAACTGTGTTATAAAAGCACTTTTATACTAATAAAGGACTGGCTTACCTAAAGCCAGTTGAGTAGCACTTGAAATGTTTGGCTCTATGAAACCTGATGTACTTTATGATTCTGTTTTCTTCAAGGTTGTGTCTTCCTGGTCGAATGCACTTATTGAAAGTCGCTTTGGATAAAAGCGTCAGCTAAATGCAATGTGATCTAATGTAATTTCAAACTCCACCAGAAACATGCTGCTCCAGCATGAATGCAGAACGAGTACTTTTACTTTGAAAACATTGAGTACATTTGACCGCTTACTTTACCTCAGTAAGATTACAAATGCAAGGATTTTATTTTGTAGAAAAGTATCGTTTCATTGTTATATTAGTGCTTTTATTTTGGTAAATGATCTGTACACTTCCTCCTGTGTCTGCTCCTCTGAGTCTGGATCACATGTCTTTATTGAGAGTTGAAGTAAGAGCACATTGAGCATCAAGGCAACACACTGTACTTTACATAAAGAGACAAAGACACAGCAGGACATTCTAACACGATCAAACATTAGAGCCAGAGAATAGGCTAAGAAGCTTTAATGGACAATAAGGTACAGTCTGTAGTTTGGACTTTACTTTGTCATTACAGGCTATTATGTTTCTGTAACTCCACGTATCCTCTGTATACATATTTAGGGAATGCTAAAGTCTTATGTTAGATTTGAGATGTACTGGGAAATGCTTTGTTTCATCAGCATGTAAACAAGGCATGGATATTCAAAATATAATAAGAGTGACAATAACAGTTCATTTCAAACCTTTATTTCTTTTTCAAGGGAGACCTGCTCAAGTAGTTCCACATGAAACATAAAAACTAGGGCCGGGACTCGATTAAAAAAATTAATCTAATTAATTAGAGGCTTTGTAATTAATTAATCGAAATTAATCGCATTTTTAATCAAATATAAACATTTGACCTGAGAACAGTGAGAAGCAATTTTTTTCACATGGATTTTAGTATACCATTAGGCGCATTCACACCGCAGTACTTTTCCCACAAAGGTTCATGAGAACTCTTTGAACCTGGGGGAGGATTAGGCAAATGAAGCCGCTGACGTCACTTCTTCTTCTTCTGCTTTGGGTTTACTGGCAGGCCGCAAACCACTTCACGGCGTATACTGCCGCCCAAAGTCCCCGGCCGGAAGTCCCCGGAGTTAGGGACTGGCTTCAGTAGAAGCTGCTGGGAGTCCCAGCAGCCTTCCGAGTAAATCGCCAGAACGCCGACACCTCCTCATCTCCACCGCTCCCATGTTTTATTTTGTGTTGCCATAAGTTAGTCTCTCTGCGTTTCTGCGCTGGGCTAATGCTAATAATGCTAATGCGAGGATAATAAAATGGCGGCTTCACAAAACTTTTTGGGAGTTTTACGGGGCGTGGTTTGCAATCCGCCCAGCCAATCAGACATATAGCTCTTTTCTCACAAGAGAGCCGTACGAAAGTCCCTGCTCTCTAGCAGCTCTCTGCTCTCTAGCAGGGACTTTCGTGGGGGTAAAAAGGTTCTCATGAACTAATTTTAGTACCCGGCTCTTTTTGGTGTGAACGCGATAAAAGAGGCTAACGTCCACGCTAGCTTCCACGCTAGCTGCTATATGTTTTGCATTGAGGTGATACTTGAGGCTTGATGTGCTGCGGTGATATGCGAATTCCTTTTTGCATAATTTGCACACAACCGTGCTCTTATCGACGCTTCCATCCGTCCGTTTTTTAAAACAACATTTCCCACTGTTGTTCACTGTGGTTTGTTGTTGTCTGAAGTCATGAACGTTAGTTGGTGCTCCAGTATAATCGGTACGCCTGAAACTCATCCAGTGAGAAACGTTCCGCAGTGCAAAAATAAGTGCGATTAAAATGCGTTAATTTTTTTAACGCGTTAATTTTTGTGTAATTAATTAATCTTAATTAACGCGTTAAAGTCCCGGCCCTAATAAAAACATAAATAGAACAACAAAAGGACATCATACAGCATCATTTACATAATTATCCACATAAACAGGTACCAACAGCTTCCGATTGAGTCGCATCCAACCGAGCTTTCAAAACATTTAGTGGCACCAGATTGTTCAGTTTCCATTTAATTTGCAGGCTATTCCAGACAGAGGAGCTGCGCATCTAAAAGCTGTCGTCCCTAAGACAGTCCTAGCAGTTGGCTCATTTAATAAAACCACAGCATGCGATCTCAGGCAGTAGCCACTTACACTTCACCCTGAGATCAGGGAGCAGATATAAGATGGAAGTTTCCCTAACATGGCTTTGTATATAAACGTGTACCAGTGACTGAGCCTCCGTACAGTTAAAGCAAACCAGCCCTTGCATACAGGGTACAGTGATGGGTTAATGCTTTACAGTTAGTAACACATCTCAGTGCGCTGTGATACGCAGCATCTAACTTGACCAGGCAATGGGCAGGTGCATTCATATACATCAGATCACCAGAGTCCAGCACAGGTCAAAGGTCACAGAGCCTTTTCCTGGCCTCAAGCGAGAAACAGGACTTGTTCCTGAAGAAGAAACCTAGCCTAACCCTCAGCTTTTTAAGCAGGTTATTGACATGAAGTTTAAAAGTGAGACAATCATCAAGCCAGATACCCAGGTATTTGTAACAGGTAACCACTTCAAGTTTTATTCCTTGCGTAGTTACAATATCTAAAACAGGCTCTGGTGTCTTTTTAGCTTTAGAAAAGAGCATTACTAGTTAATATATATCAATAGTAGAAAGATATTTATTTGTAAAGGATCAATACATTGTTACTCATAACACAATAAAATATGAGTAACAAACTAACCCTAATAAAACATATATAAAAATAGGAGGCTTTAAAAATTCAAAAGTCAATGTATGTGTATTTTGGAACTTATAGCATGTTCACTTTCTGCACACTTAAATATACTCCTGGTTAATTGATAACTGCATTTCATTGGCTCGTACCTGCACTCTGCACAATGACAAACTCCCCTAATCTACTTCCAATACAAATGCTAAAAATAAAAAGAATAATACCTATTTTATTTAAATAGAAACACCTGAATATCTGCCGTCTTCAAGTTTTATTTTTCCCCCGGTCCGACTCCCCCAGCTGTTACCATGGCAACAGATTTCATCCCGTTTACAGGAAGGTGGTTCGTTGCCGCGACGACGGCACAATGCACCGGAGTACTGTCTTTATACTTTTTTCCTCGACTTGACACACTCAAGACTCCTCAAATCCCCCCCCGTCATAAAACACACACTCAGGGAGATATACTGTATACACATCATCAGTCTGAATCAGAATCTCAATCTCAGTCTTTATTTATTTATATTGCACATTTAAAACAACCTCAGTTGATCAAAGTGCTGTACCGGGAACTAATATAAAATAACACAATAGGAGTACTATAAAATTCTAGACAAATGTTACGGAAATGTGAACAACGCATATGTGAGTAGAGCCAAACCCTCGCTTTCGAACTCGGACCATAACACTGTTCATCTAATACCTACCTACAGAACGGCTCTCACGCGTAAACCACAGACCAGGACTGTAAAGGTTTGGACTAGTGACAGCAGAGAGTCTCTTAAAGGATGTTCTCTCTACTGAGTGGAGGATCTTTCATGAGATGGACGTGGATAATGCTACTGAGACGGTAACTGACTATATACAATTCTGTGTTGACAATGTGATTCCTCACAAAGAAATAACTGTGTACCCCAACAACAAACCATACATAACTAAAGAGGTTAAGGACTGCATCAATCGTACAAATATAGCTTTTAAAAACCGGGATAAAACGCAACTGAAATGTGTGCAGAAGCATGCAACCACATGCTCAGAGAAGCTAGAAGGAGACATAAGGACATTATTGAACGGAACTTTTCTACAATGAACTGCAAGGAACTTTGGGACACTATGAAGGCAATCACAAATATGACTCCAGCTAAAACAACTCTCTGGACCTCTGATGACCTGCAAAAAGCAAATTAACTGAATGACTTTTACATGAGATTTGAAACCCAGGACTTCTCCTCTGAATGTACAGACATCTTAGAGACCATCTGCTACTGACCAGGACGAAAGGGTGCTGATTGACCCTTTAAAGGTCACACCTGTACTAAGAAGGCCACAGGGCCAGATGGCATCTCTGCATTCCTTCTCAAGACATTTGCAGAAGACCTGACATCAGCATGGAGTCCCATATTTAAAAAATCTGTTGATCTTCACACCATCCCCACCCTCTGGACAAAATCAATAATAAAACCTGTCCCCAAAAAACCTTGTCCAAAGGTAAACAATGATTGTCTGTTGCATTGACATCCATTGGCATGAAATGTTTTGAGAGGATCATGGTGCCGCTGCTAAAGAAAGAGGTTGATGTACATTTAGACCCTTTTCAGTTTGCCTACAAGCAAGGGCGTGGCACAGACGATGCTCTAAATAGCATCACACACCTGGGGCCTCA